AGCTACTAGGCACTCAAGATAAATATTTAGCTTGGCACATGATTGTTATACATTATATGCACTATGTTATTTTTCATTCTTCCCAGAGTTCCATATAATAAAATTCTCGATCACTGCCCACTCCCCCCCCATACATTCTATTTCCTAAAGAAACCTTTATTGCAATCATCCTGTATGTTCTCCTTCATGTCTACAGATATTAAAGTGTACCTGTCCTCCACCCCAGAACCAGCCATGGAGTAACGTCTCTTGCTCCAGGAGAATGCATACGTTTATACATAGTTTCCGGGGACATGACGGCCACCACTGCTCATGACAAGTACACTTTAACAATAGATTTATTGTGTCCTATAAATAAGCTAAAAATGTGTGTTTTCTTTTTTTTTTCAGTGCCAACGTTTAATTTATTTAGCAGATTCATTCCCCTTCGGCCTGAATATATATCACCGGGTTGACTTTGGCCCTTAGCGGACGACTTTATCATGCCGATGCGATCTTGCGAAGCGCTCAGCTCTCAGGCTTGTCAGGCCGGGCCCCGCTGCCTGTTTATGTGGCTTCTGTATGTATAGACGACGTATAGAGGCCGGAGCATGGGCTTGAGTTTACCCTACAGGGAATGATTAATGGTTTGACACCTGCAGCCCCTCTGCTTCCCCCAGACAACCTCCTGCATTCAGAAACAGTCCATGAAATGCCACAACGTGTAAATCTCACGGTGCATCCATACAACAAACACGTATGTGCGCTGAGTCCAAATGAGCGGCGCCAGCGAAGCTGCAAAACGCAGAGACCTCATTCTCTCCAGCCTCGGCTTCGGCCGCATACCGGCCCGCCGCTCATTTCAATAGAAATAAAAAATGATGAGACCAAGGGCGCCCATAAAAGAAAACGACGATTGCCGGCCAATTTGTTTCTTTTTATTTATCTTTTAGATTTAGGGACGTGCGAGCCATGAATAATGCACAGCGCTTGCATGTCCTACACATTTTTTTAAACGTCGGTGCCCGCCAAAAAAAAAAAAACCCGCTGGCCCCACTGATGGATCGCAGCGTATTTTCCGAGCATCAAAGTCCCCCAGACATGAAGGCAATCTGGTAATTCAAAGCTAGCGAGAAGCCTTTCTTGTGGGTTTAGAAAACTTAAAATTTGCATTACAATGGAGAAAAATGGAAAAACTTCATTCTGTACCGCTTGTCAGTCAAAAAAATCTAATTTAGGCTCATTTTTGAAAATGAAAGAACTTTAAGGACGTTCCTGAAGAAATTTTCTAGCGAGGATGACAAATAAAAAAAAAGAGGGAAAAAATGTACGGTTCTGTGTGTGTTTTTTAATGTGTGGAAGAATAACTTCCAAGGCCCGGTACTATACAGTTCTTTAATGCCCAGAGTGACTTAGCAAGCGCATTTAGCACAGAGCTGGTTGTTGTCACCTCGGGGCGCAGGAACCGAGCGCCAACCGCGGGAGCTGGGGAGGGAGCCATGTTTAAAAGGAGAACTATGAGGTGAGTGAAAATCACTCATCCTCATAGTTGGTGCCGAGGTGTGACAATGAAACTATCACACGTCGGCTCAATAGATCGGGAAGTGAGCGAACACATACCGTCGCTCGCTCACTTCTAGATCTTGTCCCTGCAGAGAGCCGTGACTGTCAGACACCACTCCCCGCAGGGAGGGGGCGGACACAGCTGGCTCTGCCTCTAGATAGGCAGAGCCAGCTGTCACTCACGCAGCTGGGTGGATCTCAACAGGTGCGTCACTCACACCTCCCCCGAGGGATTCCCCCCTCTCCGATTCTCCAACGCTGACTGGAGGAACGGACGGGTGGAGGGGGCAGGTACAGCGGACGGATCCCGACATTACTTTTGAGATCCACCCAGCTACATGATTGACAGCTGGTTCTGCCTATCTAGAGGCAGAGCCAGCTGTACCCGCCCCCTCCCCCGTCCATTTCACCAGTCAGAGCTGGAGGATCGGAGCGAGGAGGGGGGGGAATCCCTGCAGGGAACCGTGAGTGACAGTCACGGCTCTCTGCAGAGACGTGATCGAGAAGTGAGCGAGCGACGTTATGTGTTCCCTCACTTCCCGATCTATTGAGCCGACGTGTGACAGTTTCATTGTCACACCTTGGCTGGAACTATGAGGTTGAGTGAATATCACTCACCTCATAGTTCTCCTTTAAGACCACAGCGCCAAATTGACACCCAGATAAAAAAAATTACAAAATCAGAAATGGGAGAATTCTAAATAAAACAGAACCAAACAAAAGAATAGGAAACAATATTCCACATAAAACAAAGAAACAGTTATACAAAAAAATAATAATATATTACCCCGAACAAGGAGAAGTATTCGGACCGGAGCGCCCACTTAATCTTGGGAGACACTTTTCGGCATAAAATAAGGCTGTGTGCTCTCGCGCTTAGTGCGGCGGACGCAGCGCAGGGAAGTGGCCATTTGTCAAGATCACGTACAGCGGCGGCAGGGAAGGCAAAAAGATTCAGCGTACAGCCGGAGCGTGAATAGTTTTGCTGCTCTAGTATCTGACTTCTCATGACACGGTAAAGCAGTCTATAAGACATATTTAAATGCTCCCGAGCAGATCATAACCGCCAGAGGCCGGCAAAACTGTGAGAGGGAGAAAAAAAAAAGAAGTTTAAATGCCTTTTGTTGTTGTTGTTGGTTTAAACAAAAGGATTCTATTTGGGCTACTCAACTTGATTTATACGCAGCTCAGGCCTGGACCAAGATACGGAGGAGAGATTTGGAAGTGCTAGTAGCGTGGTGTCTTAAAATACATGACTTAAAGCTGAAATATAATGTACGCGTGTTCAGGGGCGTAACTAGAAATCACAGGACCCCACAGCAAAATTTTGTATGGGGCCCCCGTGATTGCTAGTCATGCCACTTGCAGAGCCCCAGCGGAGAGTGACCCTGCAGTGCCCACCATAGACTCTCTACAGTGGGCTCTGCAGGGTCTGAGATCTCTTACCTGTCAGCTCCTCTGTGGTCGCTGGGAACTCCTGTTCCGTCCCCGGGCCCCGACTCCTGTTCCGTCCCCGGGCCCCGCCTCCTCTGCTATCGACGGGCCCCGCCTTCTATTACATCACTGGCCCCACCTGCTCTTAGGTCGCTGGCCAGTAATGTAAGAGGAGGCTGGCCCCGCCTCCTCCATTCCGAACACCGCCATCATCTGCCGCAGTCACAGCGGCTATGAGGGGAAATGCGCTGTGGCCGCTGCTGAGCTGTGTCTGTGACAGCCAGCACCCCCACATGCCATAGCGATCCAGACGGCCCTGGCCGGGCCCCCCCTGTGCCCGGGCCCCATAGCGGCCGCCTGGGTCGCTATGGCGATTGTTACACCACTGTGCGTGTTTTACCTTCTCTTGCCGCCCTCCCCGAAACCAACTAGCATCCAATTAAAATGTTTCAATCAAATTTCATTTTCAAGAAATATCTCCTTTGATACCCAATGATGAAATCACTGGGACTTTCTGCTTATACTTGCTCTGTGATATGATTGTTTGTAGAGTGAGGGGCCTGTAGGTATCCCGCTGCACTCCTGACTGGTATGCCCTTTGTAAGATGGTTGCTGAATGGTGTTGCTCAAATACGAAGAGGCTACCACTGGTGGCCACTGAGTGGTGCAGACTTCAGCTTTGCAATCTGCTTGATTGCACTCTATTAGCAACTGATCAGCTAAAGTCTGTCCAAGTCTGTCCAAGTGTCCAGCATAGGGTTGCCACCTTTTCTTCCAGCGAAACCCGAACACTCTAGAGTTGTGGCTTATTCATATGTACATAGAGTTACACATTCATATGTAAATATTACAGTTGAGACTATTTTCAGTGGGGGGGCCAGTAGCCCCTATAATTATGGTTGCCCCTGTCTGCCTGACATCTTGTGTCTGGGTTTCTGCTGCCATGAAACCCGGACACAGCATTCAAAACCCGGACTGTCCGGGTGAATCCTGAACAGGTGGCAGCCCTAGTCCAGCATTAGGAGCATGTATGTCTAAAGGGATGCGGGGGATGTGTTCTTCCACATAACACTTGAGGAAGGGTGCTGTGATGTTTACAGAAGTGTGGATGCCCCCCCCCCACCACACACTTTAAACAGGTACAATATGTCACCAGCACATCAACAATATGTGTCCAATAAGCTTCATTATTGATGTATGCTGTAAATATTTGGTCACAAGAGTAGTGACATGTCAGGGCCACACAGGGTCCCTTCATCAGGCTTAATACATCAGTGAAAGCGAAGACATTTGGGCTAGTCAATTTGATTTATATGCAGCTTTTTTCAGTGGGGGGGCCAGTAGCCCCTATAATTATGGTTGCCCCTGATGTGACCCCCTCTTTTATATTTTACCAAACAATTGGTGAGTAATAAGTGTTTCATAGCATAGCAGGGAAAACTGTTTTTTTTTTTTTCTATAAATGTTTGGTAATGTTTTCTTTATAGTAAAAAGAAAAAAAAAACAGTGGTGATTAATTAAAACCAAAAAAAAGCTCTACCTGTCCCCCAAAATGGTATAAAATTAATTTCAGTACAGCGTTGTATGACGGAATAAATGTCAGTCCAAAAAAAGTACCACAACGCTGAATACTGAAAAAATGGCCGGGACAGGAAGGAGGTTTAACGTCCCGGTCTTCGAGTGGTTAAACAAGTCACCAGAGAAGGCTACATTGACCTAAATCCTAAACACTAACTACATTCCGGTCTCAATTAACAGTGCATTTTTGGGACGGGAAATCACACCCTGACCTAGGTGCGGATTGCTATGCGCAGTCGACGGCAAGTTTTTGGAAAGATCCAAACAGTTCCGTTGTGTTAATACTTATTTTGCAAATCTCAAGTAACGCTACAGAAACCAACCGACGTGAGAAAACAGATAGGCAACAACTTGTTAATTTCATGCTGTGTAAATATTTAACAAGTGTTGATTCTTAATGAGAATGACCTAAAAAAAAAAAGAAGACCCCCCCAAAAAAAGGATATCGTCATTTTCGCTACAAACTTATCGTTTGGATTATCCGTCTTGGGGAAGTTTTTGATGTCGCCTTCCAGTCGTTTTATCTGGTGGTCCATGCTGTCCAGGCTGGATTTCAGAGTCTGCGCCGAAACTAGAAGATAAAGAGAAAACAATTGAGATATGTGTACTGAGGTATCGAACATATAAAATGGTGACTCCCGCACTCGAGCTGTGGTGGGACAACAAATCCTATGAGGCATTGCAAGTCTCTGCAAGGCGTGGCTTCCAGAGGCAGAGATTGATGGGATTTGACCACAGCTGGCGTGCCGAGGTTGCTTACCCCTGATGTAAACATTTAGGGCCGGTTCACACCACATAGGATGAGTTCCAGAGTGTTTGGCCTCTGAAACACACTGGAACGCAAGTTGGCTGGCTCCCTGCGTTCCGGGGCAGGAGGGGGCGTGGTAGTGCATTGAAGTCAATGGCACCGCAGCTGACACCCCCCACCTTCACTACGATCGCCCACACCCGGGACGCAGGCAAATTAGTGCTTGCGTTCCTGTCCAGTGTGATCTGCAAAAATAGTGCTTGCAGTGGGTGCCCCCCACCCACAGTGTGGGCGATTGCACTGCGGTTGGGGGCGTGGCTGCAGTGCCATTGACTTCAACACACCACCACACCCCCTCCCGCCTCTAAACACAGAGATATGGCCAGCTTGCGTTTCAGTGCGTTCCAGAGGCCGAACGCTCTAGAACACATCCTTTGTGGTGTGAACCGGCCCTTAGGGACCTTGAAAAGGCAAATAGCAGCAATATATTGTTCCGCAAGTTCAAAAACTACCTGTTGATCCTGCCAGAAATCTTGTGAGCTAATAACTTATCTGTGTTCTCTGCTTTTGCAGACAATTATCAGTTACACTGTATCCAGTGGCCTGTGTGTGGACTACAAAAACACCCCCCCCCCTTATGAAAAAATGCATAAGGGCAGGTGTTCTGTGGTCCAATTAGACCTTCTGTTCTAGGGTGACAACGCTGCTTCTCCATTCATACAGTGCAGTAAATGGGCATTGTCACCATAGGACAAGAAGTGCGTTACGGGCAGGATCACCAAGTGAAAAGAAAGTGAAGAAAGCACTGAAATGGAAAACTAATGCAGCACCACATTTAAGGACTGATAAGCTGCAATATATTCCATATTTGTTCCCAGCTTTAGACACATTTTATTCACTTTACATGGAGAAATTTGTGTATTTCGATAGCGTATTCGGCTGTGAAGACCCACAATCATCAGCCAATATCAACCCTTTTCCAATTACCTGCTGAGACTAGTGAGATCTTACACTGAGGGCAGCGAGCTCTCATCAAGAACACAAGGCAGACCCGCAACAACAGCAGGTGTAAAAGCACTAAGGCAGGGGTAGGCCCTCTAGCTGTTGTGCAACTACAAGTCCCATGAGGCAATGCAAGACTCGGAGCCACATATTGAAAGCTGGAAGCATATCCTTACACCAGGGATGGACAACTCCGGCCCTCCAGCTGCTTTGCAACTACAAGTCCAATGAGCCATTGCAAGATTCAGAGCTACATAGTGGCAGGATGGGAGCGTACACCAAGGGTGGGCAACTCCGGCCCTCCAGCTGCTTTGCAACTACAAGTCCAATGAGCCATTGCAAGACTCAGAGCTACATAGTGGCAGGATGGGAGCATATGCATACACCAAGGGTGGACAACTCCGGCCCTCCAGCTGTTGTGCAACTACAAGTTCTATGAGCTATTGTAAGACTCGGAGCCACATATTGAAAGCTAGAAGCATATCCTTACACCAGGGGTGGACAACTCCGGCCCTCCAGCTGCTGTGCAACTACAAGTCCCATGAGCCATTGCAAGACTCAGAGCTACATATTGACAAGCTGAAAGCATATTCTTACACCAAGGGTGGGGAGCTCCGGCCCTCCGGGTGTTGTGTAACTATAAGTCCCATGAGGCATTGCAGGACTGACAGTTACAGACATGACTCTCAGGGGTATGAAGCATGTTGGGATTTGTAGATAAAGCACAGCTGGAGGGCCAGAGTTGCCCACCCCTGCAGTAAGGTGTGCTTATGACCATCACGCCCCAGGAGGATAAATGCTAAACAAAGGCACCTAAGCATCTGGTTTCATGAGACTATGAGGATTCATGATTTTGATCAATTTTCATGAAAAAGGGACAATTTTTGTGAAAAGAAATATGGAAGCCACCTTAACACACATACAAATGGTAAAACACTGCAGATGGTTTATATGGTAAAGTTATTTTCCTTGAAACAAACATTTATTTACCAAAAACATGATACATACAAGATATAAGACTGCAACAATGCTGGACTTCCTATTAAGAAAGCCCAACACTAGTCACCTTTATAATAAGGGACACCGCATATCTGCTATGATAGCCTCAGTAAGATTAGGCTGAAACTATATACATGTAGAATAAAGCAGAAGTGGTCACAATGGGATTATTGTAAAAAAAAAAAATTCTCAGCACTTGCCGAAACTTCAGGAAACTCGATGTTTGTGTGGCAGTGTGAAGTGATACATTGTAGCGAAGGCTTGCGCTATTCTCCCTGTTGTGTTATGTCAATGTGAAATCCCGCTGACAGTGCCATCCTTTTGTTGGCACTGTCAGCTCTCTAATACTTCATAAGTTTATCAAACATAAGCTGACACTTGATGTACCCGACGCCGATGTCTCACGTAAGATGCCCTCATATCTTACTTTACGCAGACTTCTTCCTCACACCGAAAATGACATTGTTTGCAGTTGTCTAATATTAGGTGAGAAGTGGTATTAATTCACATGCTAGCGGGATAGAACAAATTATGGCGCTGATTATTAAATAGGTATTACAATTTTTCCCAGTGTAAAAAAAAAATATATATTTTTAGTGATTAATTTTCACTAAATAAATTATCGTTATCATCTCATTTCCCATTGGCAGATAGTGGAGCAGATTAACCAAGACAGTGTAGGTTAGTAGAGGGGTAGGGTGCTGGATTGTGTTCTAGGTACCTGAAACTGTAATATCTACATACAGTCAGCTATCTATTAAGCCATTGCCGTATACCTGGTCCTTGGATTCAATTCTTTAATTCAAAGAGATTGCCACAAGGTTACAAGTGTTCTGAGGCTTTTTATTGAGGGTAAACATTCTTAAGGTTAGGAAGAAGGCCAAGGCATTACTGGTGTTCACAACAGCTCCCTTTATCAGGGCTACAAAATGCAAGAAATATATAAAATAATAAAAAAGAAGAAAAAAAATGATATACTGTACCATTATTGGTTGGAGGGTGGGCTTCAGGACCTGTTGTGATGTCTTTTTAAGTTGCCCTTACAATTTTAGATCTTTTTTTTTTTTCTCGTATGTATGTCCTCTCCTCTTGAGAGACCATGAGGGTCCTTCTTTGCGGCATGCTGGCAGGAGACAAGTTTTTCTGCTCAGGCTGTGGCTGCTTTTTGAAGAATGTTAAACTTAAGACTTTGTTTTGTGTTTTGTTCAACTGTAAGGCTTCCTTCCCACATAGGTCCAGGCAGTGGATTCCTATGGCTGGAATCATCGGTGCATGTAAGAAGCTTCGGATGGGGAGCCAGCAGAAAGCAAAGACAGGCTGACAGGAGCATTGGCTGTCTACAGCCAGTGGCAAAACTATCGTCATAGCAACCCAGGCAGCAGCTATGGGGCTCGGGGCACAGGGGGGCCCGGCCAGGAAGAGGGATAAAGGGGTCCCCCTGATGCCGTGCGGGCCGTCTGGGTCGCTATGACATCGCAGGCTACTGGCTGTCACCAGTGACAGCCAGCAGCTATGGAGGAGAAGGCAAGGCCCATTGGCAGGGGAGGAGGCGGGACCCGGCGGCAGTGGAGGAGGAGGAGGCAGGGCACAGCAGTGACCATGGAGGAGGTGGGGCCCAGCGGTGGAGGAGGCTGACAGCGGATCAGGGCTGACAGGTAAGAGGTGCTCAGGGGTGTGACCAACCCATCTGAGACCCTGCAGAGCCCACCATAGAAAGTTTTTGGTGGGCTCTGCAGGGTCACTCTCAGGTGGGCTGTGTGGGATCTCAGGTGGGCTCTGCAAGGGGCATAACTAGAAATCACAGGGCCCCATACAACATATTGCTATTCTACTAAATATTCTACGCATTCTACGCATATTCTACGAAAGGGATTTCCCGCGATTATCGTACGATTATCGCAAAGTGTGTGGGCACCTTAAGGAGCATCCTAGAAAACCAGTCGAAAATCGTACGATTTTCGGCTGGTTTGAATGATGCTCGGGAGACAAATGCCGAGCGGGCCGGTGTGCGCACGCACACTGCCCCGTTCAGCATTGCGGTCATTGGAAGCCCGCCCCTCAGGGGGGCGGGCTTGCGATGATCGCAAGTAGGATCTTCCTGTCCAAGATGGGCAGATCGTACGTTTTTTAATTACTTTACAACCATCGCAAGACTCTTACGATGGTTGTAAAGTGTATGGCCACCTTAAGACTTTTTTTTTTTAATGCACCTGGAATGTGTTTAGAAGATTTCGGCAAAAAGTTCAGTCGGGCTTTAAATCCTGAAGGGTCATGCTGGTTCAAATTTCCATCAATAACTTTATAAGTCATCCGCAGATACCCGGCTCTCTGGAAGGTAGTTTCTTCATAGGCACCCCTGCATCCCCCCGGATATGTATGAACCCGAGGCAAACTATGATGCAGGATGGAAGACACTAGAGAGAATCTAAAGAGAAGCCGGGATGAAATATACATACATACATTCCCTTCTTCCTTTATAGACATCTAGGCTCCCTACGGATCCTTACCAGCCAACTATGAGCTATGCCAAAGGAGCATACACAACAAAAGTCAGGACGGAGGTGCCTTCTTTAATAAAACTCATGCAGGGAGCCCTACATCCGCACACTATACCGCTTTAAAAGAGCAGTTTAGCCATTTCTAGAAGTTTTGTCAGTTATATTTTCCATATTTCACTTGTTTTGGCTGATGCAGCTTTGAGGGGGAAAAAAAAAAAGGCGAAAAACTGCTCATTTTTAACTTGTGTGGCACACAATGCTCGCCCCGCGGGACAGAAACGGGAGATCAATGATTCCCAGCGGACACTTTTTTCCCATCTCTCC